TTATTAAGTATTCTTGATAATTAAATTAAATAAAATTTATATTTTTTAAATTAATATTACGTAACCTTAACACATTTATACGTGACCATAATTCCACCCGCCACCGCTATGCAATAATAAGAAAGCACACGCAAGATCATCTTCTACAGCATCTTTTGCACGTGGCGGCACTTGATGAAACCAAAAAAGCTCCATTTTTCTATGCCCCGTGCTTATACCACTGAGCAATAGCATTAGGCATTGACAGATTAACTGCCACAATAGCTGCTCCCAGCGTTCTACATAATAAGGCCGATTCATGCAATTCGGGGGAACAAAAAAGAAAAAAAAAAGAGAATAAAGTGTTGGAATTTTAAAAATCGGTATGAGTAGAATTTTAGATATCAAGATCTAATAAAATAAATATATTACGTACCTAAATTTTCATAATCAATATATTATTTAAAAATATTTAAAAAATTTTAAGAATTTTTAAGAATCATCATAATTAGAGATGTCAAAACAAAACCTACAAAATAAATATAACTAGTATTGAGATTTAGGTTTTCCTTTCCCTAATCAATTTTTATATAGTGACAACTAATGAGTTATATCACTCTCTAACTCTACTATTTATAAAGGTAGGGTCTTCTGAATCGGAAAGGGGACCAAACTCATTATAGTAATCTTTTGAGCACCTCCATTAAATAACCCACCTTTACTTTCAAGTCTTACACCTATTCATATCACATCATATAAAACTGAAATAAAATATAGACTCACTTGGATCATATTATTTTATTGAATTTTATCAATTTTTTCATTTAACTCAATTTTTGAAAATCAAATACAATTAGCGACAACCTACGTAAAAATTTCCAACATAAAATTGTTTGGTTCCCAACTCTTGTGAAAAAAAAACACAATTCATCTCGTTTTGGCATATGTGCCAAAACAAGTAAAACTTCTATTATGAAAAGACAATATTTGGACGCCATTTTGGCAATTAAATAGATGATGAAAGCAATTAGTTTTAGTAAAATTTTATATAAAAACATTTAAATATAAGTTATACAAAATAAACTGTATTGCAGTATTCTCACTCTACAACATAACCCCTGCATCAGCCTCACTGATGTATTATTGGGTTATACACGACATCATTGTATCATCACCCCCGACAACTACTTTGACCCCAAATCCAAAACTAGTACATTGGTTCATGGTTCCTTGATCCACAGGGTGTTTTGTCCACAGAGAGTTTTATTCAATTTTTTGTTCTTTTCTAAAGATCAATAAGGCCTCCTTCAATAATTTTTTTT